CCGTAAAATTAGTTTCATGTATACTTGCGCTTAGTTCAATAAGGAACGCTTCGAATTACTTGGATGAAGATCATTTATCTTCCTGAAGTTGAATATTTCTGAGTTTAAAGCAAATCGCATTTTCTGACGACGTCGTTATAAATTTCATGCAAATAACACAATTTACAATAAGAAGTCATATTTGTCTCTCAACTTATAATTGTATTTTATATAAATGTAATTAAAGGCAATATATTCCCTTAATTACTACCAAACACTTGCTAACTCAGACACATTTAAATATTGCCTCTTTTTGCGCGAAACTCGATTTTTTGCTAAATGTACATCAGTCAAGTAAAAGAGTTCACATTTTAGTTTCGTGTTAACTGTAGAGTAGAGACTAGCACAAAAAAAAGGATATTGTAAATAAATTTCAATAGCAAAGGTGAGATAGATATCTCTGTGATAGCAAGCACACTACATGACGTCAAGAATTGCTAGAAATGTAATAAAGAATCAGATACATGTCGAGATTTTCGCGACGTGAGAATATTAGCTGATTAGCTCAGTTGGTTACGGCCCCTGGGGGCGGTATCAGGGTAGCAGATTCCAATCAGGCAGTGACGAAAATTTTTCTAGTCTACAAATAAATTGACGTTTCATTATAATGTATCATGCATTACATGCAAGCATCACTAAGATTGGCATTGAAACTGTTTGTGCAATATCTAACTGAATCTAGATAAAAACAAAACTTAAACTTATTTGAGTTACTCCCATAACTAGGGCAACGTCTTGGGATTACAAGAGTGCGGTCCTACGTGCTAATCCAATTACAACTTTCTTCTTTAGAACATGAATATGAACATTTGTATCAAACAAAGAATAGGATTCCAGTCAAGTACACTTGTCTGCTAAATGTGGCCTGTAGATAATTAGATAAAGCTTGTGACAACAATTTGCATAGTTGCGTCGCTACGTTTTAGTTCACTTTTAGATATAAAATTCATAGATATAGTTACTGTGTGCTTGTTGTCCATAAAAAAGAAGCAACTATCGTACAAAAGCCATCTAAATCCCGCCCGACCACAGGGCACTCCAGGGCGCCTAACTTTCGCAAGTTTCCTAATTAAATTTCCTGAGTTACGGTCACCTACTTGCATAAGCTTTCGCCTTTCTGTGGCGGCCATATGGCACTTACTACTTCTGTAATTATTCCTTCCCCAGATTAATTTGGTTTAATTCTGACTTAAGAACTTCTTAATGAACTAGTTTAAAATATCTCTATATATTTACGTGGACATAAGAAATTATTTCTCAATAAAATATTAATTACACTGAATATTTTGACGGGTACTTTTAAGGTTTCTCGCAGAGAATCAATTGGCCAGGGGACAACTAGTTATGATCGTGAATCGCCTTATACACGTAGCTATTGTCGAGGGCAATTCTAAACCTATATCTTATTTATGAGAATATAGTCTTGGTGATATTCTTCTGATGACATGGTGGCGTTTACGTGTGTTACTAAATACAACAAAGAGTTACTTTAGTTATCTAGACACAATACATAGGGTATTTAAGACTTTCAGGTATGCCATCAAGTGAGCCGCTTGCTTTATTGCCAATATCTCTATTTTTATGTTAAAGTTGTCAAGCGACCAGGCTTTACTACATAACCTGAGGGCAGATGCGTTAAACACCTTTCAAAAACTGAACCCCCGTAACCTCACTCACCATATAAAATGCGAAGTGTAACACTTCCACTTCATATTGGTCTTCTGAGAGACCATAGTACTTCCCCGGATGAGCCTGCCAATTCGTACAAGAGCAGATGCGCGGCCCTACCACAGTTAGCTGCGGTAGGGCCATGCAACAGCTTCGGCCGTTGCATGAATGGGCAGGTCCATCCGGGTTAGTACCATGACCCCACAGAAGACCGACGTGAATTGGTGGTGTTATAGTTCTGTGTTACGTCTATCGAGTGAGGTAGCCACTTTATTAAAAGATGGCAACGCATTTGCAACCCTACGGGTGTTCAAATTTCCATGAGCGGCGGTTATCACTTAACATCACGTGAACCACCAGATCACTTGCTACATTCTCACATAAAAAAATAGAAGTGGTAAAATACGTATATCACATCATAATCTATAAAAATAAAGTTTGAAATGTGTATGTCGTCTACAAATGCAGACAACAGAATGCATCACTTACATTCCTCAGGTTCGGCTTATTGCATTTTGAGTTTATTGCTGTCTTTCACCCAATTAGTGAGATTTTATTCGTTGATATTTCGAGGGGCGTTAAAAGTGGACAACAATGCGACCACTCGATATTTAATTCGTTTTTAAAACCGAACTGACACGTTATTACATTTAAATTTATATTGGAGCCGGTCCAAAGTGTTATGTAAAGTTTTTGCTTTCTCTTAAATACTTTTCTTAAATTTTAAATGATTCGGAAGATTTTTTTTCTACTTTTTGTAATTGCCGTGTCATAAAATTGCTTAGGTCCACCGCTTTTATTATCACCAACCAAAAACGCATGCTATGATTTTAAAGAACTACCATTATACTTTTTATTTCACTTCATTTTTAATTTTTAATGCTAGTCTGCGCTTAATACGTAACTTAAAAATGTGTAGATAAAACTGTCGAAACATGTTCACCGTTGCCAGGATTTGAAGCTGCCTCTTCCAGACTACTCGTTCAGACGTAGCCACTTAGCATTTTGTTTCTTTTTTTCATACATTACTAGCTTTTTGCCCTTGGCTCCGCCCGCGTTGAAGTCTTTAAATAAATATCTTTTTATTTAAATATTTTTTTAATAAAAATAATACTATGTCGTTTTTAAGATGTGTACAGTTTCATGATATTCAGTCGAATAGTTATGGTGTGAAAGCGTAACAAAAAAACTTACATTCACATTAATAATATTAGGGATTTATATTAATTATACCATTATACTGATACACAAAAATTGAATCCATTTTATTCGATATTTCTCGTAATTTTTTTTTGCAGAAATCCCGCAAAAATTTCTGGAAACTGCAACATTATTCCTTATCCAAGGATATTGGGTGGTTAACAGTCACTGTTATCCATCATAATATACAGTTTTTATTCAATAATTTAAAGGTGACAGGGCGTAGCGTTATAGTTGCAAATTTGATTTACGTTTGACGTTTTTACTCTATAAAAATGCTTTAACGTTTAACGTTACTTAAATTCAATTTAAAATATATTAATTTATGTACCTTTTTATTTATGTTTTATTGCTAGCCTTAAATAAAAAAGTAATAAAGGGTGAACTTACTGCCCAAAGGGATTCTCAATCAGTCAAGCCAGGATGGAAAAAAAGTGTAGTATCAGCTAGTCATATCTTAAAGAAATATCTTTCGTGGGTCGTAAATGTACGGGGTATTAAGGATGATTGTTAAGAATAAGAATATGTAGATATATATACTTTAACTGTGATAGGGTCACGCAACAGTGACTGTTGCATGAATGGGCAGGTCCGTCTGGGGAAGTACCATGACCTCACAGAAGACTGGCGTAAAGTTATACTTCTGCGGTTCATCTCGTGAGTGAGGTAGCCGGGGCCACTTTATTAAAAGGTACATCTGCAATCCTACGGGTTTTGCAGATATCCATGGGCGTTGGTTATCAATCAACATCTCGTGAACCACCACTTTTTAACATAAAAAAGTCTTCGTCGTATCAACAATTTAAAATATAAATAGAGTACTAAAGTAAAAACTGTCAAATACCGTTATTCATAGAACTAAACGATCAATATATTATGCAAAGTATTGAAGCGTTAAACGTTATACTGCATTAATATATTATAATATGCGTGTGTAAAATTTTTCACTAATAAAAGTGACAAATTCATATTTTATTTTTCAACATCACGTTCCATTCGCAGGAGCGAGTTGTTTATTGTAATAGCAGTAGAGCACTCAATGTTTTGACACCCGGTCATAATATCATAGACCAAGAGCCAGGGGAAATTCATGATCCGAATATACTAGAGCTGACTTTCTGCCAGTTGGTTATGCAGTTGTGTACACACACATACTGCGGTCAATCAAGCCAACTGTAAAATAGACGTTCTTTTTTTTTCTTCTTTTTAAAAAAAATTGCCCTTACTTTAGGTTAACATTATCGTGTGTTTTAAGGACGTTTTACAAACGAAACAACTATCTGAGGGTCAAACAAATCGTTGTCCCGTATGAGAATCGAACTCACGACCCTCGACGCTGAAGCCAATACCTTGGCAACTGCGCCACGGAGTCATCAAAATGAAAATCGGCTTAAGTAAATTTAGAGGATTTTTTGCCCTTATCTCCGTTTATAATAAGATATAATTGTCTATCATCACTCACATCAGTGTAAATGCAAAAAGCAATCTCGTGCAGTCTTCAATTTTTTTTTATTAATTCCCTTGATTCGAGATGTGGCGTTAACAATTGTTAATGTCTATAAACTACGTGAAGATCTGAGGACTTGAAATTATACTTTGTTGGCCTGTCGGTGAAGTCAGTAAGTAATCACTCCATCGGGAGACCCGATTGACAGATCGGCTGTCCGAATAATGGAGACGAATGCGAGTCTGCGCGTCTGGCTTGATGAATCTCGTGTCCGCTTTTTATCAATATTTACAAATCCCGCGGCCAGGAATAACGGGCCAATTAACCTGTAGTATTGGTTCACATATTATCAATTCTCATGTCGTTTTTTTTCTGGTTTAAAGTGGCAGTCCGTTATATATTTATATTATCAACACAAGTATTGATAATAAATACAAATTACTTTAGCATAACTCTATCGCGGGGCTATAAAATATTGACGTCTGAACAAAAATTAAAAAAAGCGCATGAATGTTAAAAATAAATACTTTTTACTAAAGGTTGGCTAAATGGTGATATATATCAATATGGTGATAATTTTGCTTTCAACGGTCTTTATAATGCCCAGCGCGAGTTTTGCGTTCATTCAATGAACTGAAGGCAAGAGATGAACATCTCTCTTTCATTTGGCCGCTGGTCGCTGTCCTCACCGGACGCGGTTTATTTGTTTCGCGCCAAAATATGCGAAAAAATGGAGGATAATCGGTACGTAAATATCACCAAATTACCAAAAACATTACATATTTTTATTTTATTTCAAGCTTAATTTGAATGGGGTTTTCAGGGTAGATGAAGCTCGAAATGTATCTTTCTGTTAAAAAAAATATGGGGTTGTGTTTCATTAGTCCGGGTTATAGTCTTACGTATTGGTTGATTTTTCTTACAGGAACAAGTCCGGAAAGGAAAATAAAAGGAAAATGAAGGGCGAGAAACGCAGAAATTATGACTCTTCACGCTTCAAGGAGGCTTATATGAAAGTTATAAAGGATAATTGGTCAGTGTACAAGGCGTCGAAGGAATATGGCATACCGTGGTCTACTTTGAGAAGACACATAGCTACTCATGGAGGTGAAAGTTTCGACTTACCTAAACTTGGGAGACCATTCACATTAGACAGCGACCTTGAATGTAAGTTTGTTTCCTACATAATTAAAATGCAAGAACTAGGATTTGGTCTCAACGTCACAGACATCAAAGCTAAATGTTACGCTTTAATAGTCCAAGCAGGAAAAGATCACTAGTTTAACGATGCTAAACGTAAAGCTGGGCCTTATTGGTGGTGGTCGTTTAAAGAACGGTACGGGCTTTCATTGCGCACGCCAGAAAAGCTTGCAGCATGCCGGGCTGTTACTGCTAACAGACAAAACATTGACGATTTTTATAAAAAAGCTACTGGACGTCGTTATTGAGCTGGATATTCTGCAAAAGCCTGAAAGGATTTATAACTGCGACGAAACCGGTGTAACGTTCGTCGTAAAACCGTCAAAAATTGTCACTCAAACTGGAAAGAAGGTAATTTACAGTAGAACTTTTGCAGAGAAAGGTGTCACACAAACACCGTTTGTGTGACACCTTTCTTTTTTTGTAGTGCGAGCGGAGCGTCTGTACCCCCCTTGATCATTTTTAAAGGTGTCCGAATGGTCAATGATCTAGCGAATGGTGCTCCGGAAGGGTCTATCGTGAGATTATCCAAAAACGGATGGATTAACTCTGAAAAATTTCTGGAGTGGATGCATCACTTTGAAGCTCATATTCCACCAGCTAGACCGGTACTTTTAATCATGGATTCTCACTCTACCCATGTCAGCCAAGATGTTATAGATTTCGCTACAAAAAATGGCATTCATCTATTCACTTTTCCAAGTCACACAAGCCATCTCCTGCAACCTCTGGACGTTTCTGTTTACAAGTCACTGAAAAATGCATGGGCTAAAGTGCTAAATGATTATAAGCTTCAACATCCAACGAGTGCTCCAACAAGGCTTGACTTTTGTCGCCTATTAACACCAGCCTACGAGCATGCATTTCAGCCGTCAATAATTGTGAACGGCTTTCGAAAAACTGGCACTGCGCCATTTGATCGAAATGCCATTTCTGATGAAAGTATTGCCCCATCATTGATGCAGCCAAGTGACCTACAGTCACAGAATATTGAATCTTCCACTGATAATGCCCAAGCTTCTGCAGTCAATCGTGAAACTGCGTCACCTTCAGTTTTCTCTTTACTTTCCGTTCCTGAGGTACCACAGTCTTCTTCTTCTAGTACCCGACGAGCTAAGCGGAATCCACAGGCCCGATATTTAACAACTCAAAGCATGAACAACATGGACAGTCCTGAAGAAAACATCGTCGCCATATCAAACGAAACCACAGTCGCCGTTACCAGTGAGGAGACCGTTACCTCGATTCGTGTCCCCTCTGCTTCTCCAACTCCTGGACCTTCAACTGAAAGCAACCTGAAGCGTAAACTACCAAGAGTCAAGGTAGAGAAAACACCAAAATCAAATAAAAGTACGATGTGTGACTATTGCGGTGTGCACTACTCCCAAGATCTGGCACTTAGGAACGGAGCTGTATGGGTAGAGTGCATGAGCTGCGGCAAATGGTACTACCAAGAATGTACTGGCACAGAGTCGCCACAGTTCCTGTGTGATAATTGTGATAAAGTAGACTTTTCAGGCACTGATGATAGTGATTGGGCACCTGAATAGACTTGTCACCATATTGCCACATATGGTATCACCAAATTGCCCCCGTATCTCCATATTGCCAACACCAAAAAGATTTGTTTGATCTGATTTTCCTATTAATGTTTAAGAATTTGAGTTGCTGTGATTAATAATTATTGAAAAGAAAAGTCTGATTATTGTAATAAGTAAAAAGGTTTTCTAATAAATGTTAATTTTCAAATAAAATTTTAAGTTTTTTTCTTATTATCACCATAAAGCCAACCTTTACCCTAATGCTAAAACAGAAAGTAACTTGTCTTTTAGTAGGTTATAAAAAAATGTGTATAGTAAATTTCTAAAAATATAAATAATCTTCATAATGTCCGTACTGACTTAATTATTAAAAATTGGCACAGTACCATAACAAAGTACATCTGCGCCGGCTGTATAAAGTGAGCCAAGGGAGTGTTAGTTCAACACCGAACTCGTTGAAACCAGTCGAATTACTCGGTAATATAAACTTATCTGTATAACAATCGTTTCTAAACTAAGTAGATAAGTACGGGCCGCCGCCAAACGAAGTGGAAGTTAAAGGCGGTTCCGTAAGTTGGACTTGAGTTCACATGTGTTTCGCTTAGGTTGCATATATGTTGATGGAAAGATTGGAACACTATGTAGGATGTATGTAATTTATGTACTCTTTGCCGTAACCACATCGGGTTCACAAAACGACAACTGCAAATTTTAGAGCGAAGAGTATAAAGAATAAGGAAAATTAAAACGTATTATTGTTTTAATATTTTTTTTGTTTTTTTTCAAAAATATTGCCCTTACTTTAGTAATTGTGTTTGTAGGGACGTTTTTACAAACGTAATTTCACGAAAAACTTCTGTAAGCAATTTGGTGAATTTGGGATGGAGAAAGATTTAAAGCTTCGCTTCACCGACATGCTAATTATCACGTGTTATGTCAATTTTGCAATTTAAATCGGTTATTATAATTCAAATAAAAATTAAAAAAATTATTCACGTTTTAAGTTTTCACCTCTGTCGGCAGTCTCCATAACTGCTTATTTTGTTTCTTAATACTAAAAGTTGTGTAAGGTTCTGCATTGTCTAAATGATAGATATAAGTAGTAACTCGTTTCGAACGAAAAAATCACACAATTTATATGTGCCGCATAAAAAACCTCAGGAACAAGTTAAAATGTTATAAATTATCAATAGCTTGTTAGTAAGTAATTTCGTAAAATCGGAAGCAACATGGTTATAATCCTTATAAATATTTAAACAATTGTTTCAAATTTCGTAAAGCGATCTAGCATAGTTTGCGTATTATTTGCTTAGTAATGCAGCTGTAAATACCACTCATATTTTGCACTAGCTCCGATCCAATAATCGCTGTTTGCCTAAAAGCCAAGCTTCGACTCAACGTTGTCGCATGCATTTCGCCTACAACACGGATTAGTGGTCAGTATTAGGTCACTTGATAAATAGGTTAAACACTTTAGATACTACTTTGGATTCAACCTGTATCCCTTAATTTTCGTTACCATGAATTAGATTAGTTTTTAACATGTCAAATTTTTGTCAAGCTATGATATCTAAAATCTGTCCTTCTGTTATTTTTAATCAGTTTGATATTGCGATTGTACGTGTTTTAAAAGTATTAGGTTTGTAGGAATTTTTCACGAGAAAAAGTATTGGATCAGAGAGAAAATGAGGAAGCGAAAAATCCCATTACACTTTGTATGCGAATTAATGCGCTAATATTTACATGCAAGCCTTGCAGTGGAAGTTACAAAAAAACCACCCACCCACCGTTTATTCCTTTTTTTTCATCATCAGCACTAGGGAATATTCCGTATATTACGACAGTCTTATAAAACATGTAATAATGAACAAAAGTATTTACACGCATTCTCGAAACAGCTATCAAAGTTTTGAACAAAAAAAAATGTCACGTGTAAAAATACTAGCGATAAACCCATAAACGACTACTCACTATTGTTATATTCGTGTAGCCATCACTAATAGTAGATAGTGCCAACATTATAAAGTTGTTAACACTGACGTACATATACAGCGTGTCGCTGCGACAATAAATGAACACACTTCTAACGCTACTTGCCAATAATCATAAAAAAATATAAAATATTAAAAAAAAACATTATTAAAAAATTATGTGTTTAAAACAAAATAATTAAATAAAAAAGAAACAAAATGTGTAACATCCTATACAACTCCAACTGACTGATTCATTCAGAGACTTTTTCATTCGTTGCCACAACGTCGCATTCCATCCAAGTCTCTCCTTCTAACAGTATGTTTTATCTCTTTTTAATTCATTCAACCCATTCATATGCTTTGTGACCTTTAGAAATGAACTTTACGTTACAGTTTTATACGTAACAGTGTTCAAAAAATTTTTGTTTTGTAAAATTTAATAACTGGGTAAATATTGATGTTTAAAGAATGTAAATGCTTAATACAATTTTAAAAAATTATCCTCTATATGTCTGTTTATTTATTGTCGTGGTTGTAACGACACGCTGTATATACAGCGTGTCGTTACCATCGTGACAATAAATGAACACACGACTAACTCTACTTGCCAATAATCATAAAAAATATTAACGTTAAACAAAATCCATAATTAAAAAAATTATATTTTTCAAACAAACTAATTAAGTAAAAAAGAAACAAAATTTGTAACATCCTATACAACTCGCGTCACAGCGTCGTATTACAAGCCTCTCCTTCTAACAGTATGTTTTGTCTCTTTTAAATTCATTCAACCCATGCATATGCTTTGTGACCTTTACAAATGAACTTTACGTTACGCTTTTATAGGTAAGGGTGTTCTAAAATTCTTTGTTTAGAAAATTTAAAAAGTTATCCTGTATATGTGTGTTCATTTATTGATGTTTAAAGAATTTTAATGTTTAATACAACTTTAAAAAGTTATCCCCTATATGTGTGTTCATTTATTGTCGCGATGGTAACGACACGCTGTATATATATATATATATACAGCGTGTCGTGTGTATAATATATATATATATTACCCTTTACAAGGATTAAAAATCAGAAGAGTACGAAAAATTTGTGAACAGTAATTTATATACTCTCACACTGAGGAAACGTTACGACCGTTTCATTACCCCAACTTTCATATAATTTCACCAAGCACATTTCATTTAGTAATTTCCAAAACATGACCGGTGATAATCTTGTCGCCGGGCACAAATTTGAAACGGTAAACCAGCAAGAAATTCAAAAGAACGGAAGTCAAGTCGAATATTAACTCTATCCAATTTCGTCGAAAACATCCGAGTTATCGAACGGGACGACGACGGTTTCGTTTTATTAAAAATTTCGCGCCAACGCGGCGGCGTTATGAAGTTGCAAATTAATTTGGGCAGGTTTGGGCAACTCAATTTTCGGTCTATTTTATCCGCCAATATTTACGGAATATCAATTATATGGCGCTGTGCGGTGGTTGGCCGGTGCGTCCGTCGCGCCTCCATCAATCTTACGCCCTTTCGATGCTCGATCTTGTATTAAATATTCATGACGGGCGAATGAAAAACACCGTTAAAAAAACAACCCATCATTCGGTGGAACAGTCAGGCATCAGTTCTTGCCCAATAAACGCTTAGATTTAACGTGGAACACCCTTGTTCCGAATGCATTCACGATTATTAGGGTTCCGTACCTAAAGGGTAAACGGGACCATATTACTAAGACTCCGCTGTGTCTCCACTGTCTGTCTGTCTGTATGTCTGTTTGTCTATATGTCTGTCCGTCTGTCCGTCTGTCCGTCTGTCCGTCTGTCCGTCGGTCCGTCTGTCGGTCCGTTCGTCCGTCGGTCCGTCCGTCCGTCGGTCCGTCCGTCCGTCGGTCCGTCCGTCCGTCGGTCCGTCCGTCCGTCCGTCTGTCCGTTCATCCGTCTGTCCGTCCATCCGTCCGTTACCAGGCTGTATCATGAACCGTGATAGTTAGACACTTGAAATTTTCACAGATAATGTTTTTCATTATTTCCAACAAACGTTTTAGCAAGGATTTCATATTTTTTTTATAATTCGTTCCGTGTCATAGAACCGCTTACATCTCTCATCTCATCTATTATTTGTTTATGATTTTTTTTAAATCGGCACTCTGAAACATTTAGATCTTCCTTTAACTAAAACACATTAATACTTTTACACATAGACTTATGTTGTGTTTGCTATATAGTGTGCACTTTATCTATGAAATAGTGTAACTTTCATGCCGACAATGGAAGCCGCAAAAGATATACACTGGTAGCTTACTTGGCAATACAGCGGTAACACATTGTAATTGTCTATCATTAACTACTTACAACGACCGCCAAATATTCAGTTCACAATTAAATTGATAGCTATCCTCTATCGTCAGATTATCTATCTTCAGAATCCGTCCCAATATGACAGAGTGTATAATAGGTGTTTTCTATGTCCAGTTAACAGTAGATGAGCCGCCTATCCGAGCCTTCTTTAAAACGCAATGTTACAAATCATCAGTAACGTCGCGTCAACGTTTTGATGATACTTTTTGCATTAATATTATAAAAAGAAAATAACTACATCATAATTTTACTTAATTGTATATCATGGGTAAAATTATTAAATAAAGTATGCATAGACATTGACAGTTAATTGATCGAAAATTTGTTTGATATTCTGTATTGTTTAAAACTAATATGTGCTACGTACAGTGATGTTTAATAATATTTATTATTTGTATACAATATCATTATATCCTCTTATTTGTATATAGTATCATTATGGAAAATTAAATAATTACTTTTCATAAAATGAGTTCAATATTTTCGATGTATTTTCACAAATAATGTACGACTGGTCAATAATTTGCTTCGAAAACGGATCTTGTCTTTGATATATGTATATTTTATATGTGTTTACTACTTTCAGCATTAGCAAAGTTTTTTTTTTCTAAGAGAGCTAGCTAGATCACTGCTTGAACATGACATTGCTCTTAAAGTGACACTTATTT